CACACTTTCTGCATCACTGGCGTTCATGCTCCCTGTGGCCACTCCTCCCAACGCCATTGTCTTCTCCTATGGACAGCTCAGGGTTATTGATATGGTGAGGAAAAACACGTTCTTGTCTGAATTTTCACCTCTAGATTTGATCTTTCTTTTTTCTAATATTGGTTCTTCTTGTGGGAGTGTTAGAAAACTCACTGGGCTCAGCTGATGTAAAATGGAAAGAAGATACACTTTGCATTAATAAAGGGTCACACTGACTCTACACTCAGAGCCTTATAAAGGTGCTATTGAGCTTTTAAAGAACAGCCAAGGCCTCTGGTGCCAATGAGAAACAGCGATTCCTAAGTGTTTGTAAAGCCCAAATGTAGAGCATAGAGATGTCAAAGAATGCTGTCATCTGGGCAGTCCTCCTGCAGAGATTGGGGACAGTCTGGCACATCTCAAGGGGCTGCCCTGATGTCCTGAGAAATCACTGTGCTAAAGACAGATGGACACAGATTCCATGTCTCTTGATAACTTTTCTAACTTACAATTTATCCAAGAAGAATGCCAAAGTAACATTAGGGATAAACGCCAGGTCAGAAGAGAAAGTTCTATGTAAGTGAGTTAAAAGGATTTCAGGACTTCTAGTTAAGGAGTTTTATCTAATGGAAACTCATTTCCCCCCACCCAGTAGAAATTACATTTGAGAAGAAAACTAGCTTAAAAGAATTTGATGGAGTTCTGATGGAGTTGTGAAAAAAGGCCAAAGGGAATCTGTCAATACAAACAAGCCTCAATACAAACAAGCCCAACCAGCAAGAAAGAGAAACTGCTCAGTTCAACTAACAATGCTTCTCTTTTTTTAAAATTCTAGGTCAAAGCTGGATTTGCACTCAACATTCTGGGAGTTCTGACAATAACTCTTGCTCTCAATACCTGGGCTTCATCTTTGTTCCAACTGCAAACTTTCCCATCTTGGGCAAACAAGACAGGCTCGTGCCTATAACGTGGAGAGGCGAAGGAACCAGTGATTGTTCCTGTTAGAGCTGCAACGAGAGCAGGACTGCCATCCATGCCAGTTTTGCCAAGGCAGTGGTACAGAGACAGGCCTGTCTTGTGGAAAAGGACAAGTCACCTGCAAGCAAAACCACTGTGTTGATAACAGCATTAAAACTGCACAACAGTGCTGTTAGCTGGCAATTTTGTCACCCCAGCAGTAAGATGAGGTAACCTTTGGCTTTTCCGCTGTCCCAGGAATCTTTAGGTTTTCTGTCTCTGGAGGGGCATTTTCCCCAACTGCTTTTCCAATCCACCTGTAAAGTCTGAAATCTGCAGTGAGAAAAAAGAGAAGTGTGTACATATATATATATAAATATAAGGAAGGCTCTGTGTTCCTGATTTCATGCATAGATCTGTGTCTTGTCACAACTAACGTTACTATTCACGTGTATATGTGTATATGTTCAAACTGTAAATGATTATTATATACTCTTATGGGCATTGACAGCATTACAGACAGATCACATACTCTCAGCCACTTCTATTTTTGAAATATATTTATTTGCAGTCCTCTTGTTATGAATGTAAAAGACTATTTTTCCCCCCATTGTTATTTATATCAGATTACACCCTGCAAGATCATGATAGGACCAGCAATATTCCCTTGAGAAGGAGAGAATCCCTGTGTCCTAAAATAAACATGATTGAATTAAAGTTTTTTTTAAAGTACCTGTGTTCTGCATAATTTTTTAATTATATATCACTCCTTCTGTCTTCCATGTATCAACTACTTCTCTGTTTGCTTATTTAAAATATCTTTAACTAATCAGAGAAATCAGCATAATTGTTTCTCTCTTATCTTTAAAGTAGTTAATACTTTATTATTATTGGCAGTCAAATTTTCTTGAAATGTTAAACCCAAGATTTTCCTTTTAAAAACCATGTAATATTGTTAAATATTTAATTCCTATTCTGCTGCAACTGACTTTCAGTAGCACATAAACTCCTAATGACCAAATTGACAAAGCCACTGGAAAATTCAAAGGCACTTTGCTGAAACTATCTCTTAGTACCATAACTTAGTAACATAACTGAGGTTGGGTTCAGACAGTGCAGTTATTCAACATGTGCCCCTGAGGTTTGCACTGAAATCTTTGTTCTGTTGTTGTCTGCCTAAATTTTGCACAAGGAATGTTGCTTTTGGAAGTCCCACTCTGGTGGCATCCCCATACTGGTTCCATCAGAGTGAACATGAGGGAATTTCACTCAAAATGAGTATGTGCTCTTCAAAATCTTTCTTCTTTCTTTCTCAGTCCTAAATATTAGGAGACAAGGACATTGTGCAGTGTACATTTGACTTACAAAAAGTCAGAATTCACTGACCTCTAGTAGTTTCTTTACAGTTCCAACTCTCCAGACAATTCTGGTGCCTGCTGGTCACTGATCCCTCTTGCTGGGGGTTTCACTGACTATTTGCTCTGGGAAACTACTGTCCTGGAAGGAACAGCCCATTATTAACCCTTCTAACTGACTGCTTAGCTAAGCAGGAAAAGTGGAATTCTTATAACATTTCCCATCAGCCTCTCCTTCCAGCCCTTTAAAACTGTGTTATGATTCTTTGAAGTCTTTTTTGTTAGTCTACATTATTCAGAGGCTGTGATGAGCTCATAAGGAACTCACATTTCAACCTGGTCTAGCGGAAGGTGCCCCTGCCCATGGTAGGAGTTTGGAACAAGATGATCTTTAAGGTCTATTCCAATCAAAAACATCCTTAGATTCCATGATTCAAGAACCAAACTTGACTTGTATCCCTAAAGCAGTTTTTCCACAATACAACTCTATTAATCCTGACGATGCATCTGTATTTCTCCCGTTGATATTGTCAGTGAATTTTGGCAAACTTGGGGCAAATGCTGCCAAAAAAAGTGGAGAAATGCTAAAAGGGTGTGCATGTATTGGCACTGGCTGCTTATGGAGCACTGCAGTTAGGAAGATCCAAGCACACTCCAAGAAAGAAAGAAGACAGACCAGTTGTACTGGTTATTAGACATAGTTAAGGGGCAAAAAAAAAGAAAAGAAAAAATAAAAAAACAACCAAAACCCAAACCAACACACACACGTTTCTGCCAAGCCAGTTATAAGAAGATTATCATGTGCTAGCCTAAGCCTCTGGCAGGAGTAGAACACTGTTAGCTGTCTTCTAGTTAGCTAAATATTAATCATCCTGTTTAGAACCAATCATGTCAGTAACTGGCCAGAAACTTGGTAAAAGGTTGTGGTACCAAGAAGGTGGAGTGTTTCATCTCTACCTGCAGTATTCCTCGACTTCTGCAGAAAATATGATGAGCAGGGGAAATTCCAAAGGAATACTCCCATTGTTAGGAAATTTGTAATTTTTTCGAAAGGGATATAGGAGGCCGTACCTGATGAGGTCAGAAGCCCAGCAGAGAGGGAAGCCGAGCTCATACAAAACAAAGAGGTCCTTGGCTCCAAAATGCACTGTGACAAGAAGGAAAAAAAGGTAGAGAGTAAAGAGAACTTCCACTTGGGCCTTGCACCAGTGACCACCACCAATGCTGGCCAGCATGCCCGCGGTGCCCAGGCACGCCTTGAGGATGGCCACCTGGAACATCTGCTGGCCAGGATCAGGTTGTAGTCCCCCGTCAGGCCGCTCAGAAGGCGTCCCAGGAGAAAGTAGGTGACATGCAGCTCCAGGTACATGACGAGCAGGTAGATGGCCGTTTGCAGGGCCATGCCCGCTGCCGGCAGGATGAGCGCCGGACGGCGGCCCACGCTGTCGCTCCATGGTCCAAAGAGAGTCACGGAGAAGAGACTGGCAAAGAAGCCCCCCAAGTTGATGTAGAGGTTCCAGTGGGAGACCAGGGCCTCCACCTCCTGCAAGAGAGACAGGTGGCTGAGGACTCTCAACAGCATCCAGTGCCACCCTGGGCTCTCCACTCCCCCGCTCTCCCCAGGCTGCCCTTCCCCTCCGGGCTCCCTGCTCCCCTGGGGTTTCCACTCTCTCCACGGACACCCCACTCCCCCCGAGCTCCCCTCTCCCCCTGCTCCTCCCTGCTCCCAGGGCCTCCCTGCACTCCCAGGGGTCCTCTCGGACCCTCTGCTCCCTTTGGGCTCCCCTCGTTCACCTGAACTCCCCACTCCCCTAGGACTCCCTTATCCCCCCACTCCCCCGGAGCTCCCTCACCTGTCGCAGCGGGTCGGGGGCATCGCTGCTGTTCCGGCAGCCGGCGGAGCCGCTGCTGTCATGGCCCTGGTAGCCACCCTCGGATCCCAGAGGGTCCCACGGGTGCTGAAACAAAGATATTTAGTCAGCACCAAAGTCTGACCAATGTGACGTCCTTCCTTTTCATTGACAGCACTGGAGATAACCTCCATGAGTGCGTCCAAGGGAATGACAAAAGCAAAAACCTTCTATTCGAAAAAGTGATTACAAATTCATGCTAAATCCCACCTTTTCCGCTCCCCCCACTATATAGGGCGGCTGTAATTGTTTCACGGTCTTTGCTGCCATCTATCGTCCTTTTATTACAATTAGTGTCCAGTGTTACACAGTCTTTGTTCCAACAATATATTAATTCTTGGTAGTGTTGGATGACTTCTTTTCTTCTTGGACAACTTTTTTCTTTTTTTCCCCTTGAATGCTGATTAGTTACTTGTCAGTTGGAAGAGATACCTCCTACCCACTTGCAAAAGTTGTTTCCTCAACCACCCTTACTTACAAAAAGTTATACCCCTTATCTAAGGTCGGGCAATTCTCATCAAGTTAAGCAAAAATGCAAGGTTCACGACACATGGCTTTAGCCTGAAATAATTCCACACACTAATTCTCATGTACTGTTTTCTACTCAAAAGAAAAACAAACAAAAAAACCACCTCACATTAATAAACCCAAACCTAATTTGGAATGGGCACGTTTTAGCAGGCAATGTTTAGGAGTCCCGTTCAGCACAGGGTGGCCCGGAGCGGCAGCGGCTCCGCGGGCGGGGAGGGGCGCGGGGGGCGCCGGTTGGCGGCGGATTAACCGCCGTGCCCGTTGCCTCCAGCGGCAGATCCCAGGCCTTTCAGCACTGGGATAGCTCCGGCAGCCATGGCTGGCATCCTGGAGGTGATCCTGGCCTTCAGGAAATCCCTCATCATCGTCGCAGTAGTCGTTTTGCCTCTTGCTCTGCCTCTGGCGGTGCCGACCAAGGTAAGGGCTTTTTGAATTCTGCATCTCGGAGCTGCTCCTTGGAAGTGACAGAGGAAGCAGACCGGACAGATTCTTCCTCGGAGAACCTTCATTTATTGCTTGAAGATCTCCTCTGTTTTTTTCTGGTCAGACACCTACATATTTTGGGGCAATATAAAAGCAATGATGGATGAACAGATACAGCAGTGATTGCATCTTCAAGAAGAACACTCAGTGCCATGTGATTTGTGACTTTTGCTTTGCATCTGACTGATTTAGCAAAGGACTTTCTATGCTAAAGATTATACGTGTGAATCTAAGTTCCAATCTAAGGTTCAGTTTTAATCCCCCTTCTGATTTTCTAAGAGTATCCAGTCCACATCTTCTTTTTCCTATTTCCTTCTCCAACCTGTCTGCTTTCCTCTAATCCCTTTGTAAGGCAATGAATGTAATTATGTGCCATTGCCTGCTTAAAGGCAGAGTGCTCTGATCATGTCTCCTCTCCCCCTCTTGCCCCCCAGGAGGCCAAATGTGCTTATGCTATCATAGTGATGGCAGTTTTCTGGTGCACAGAAGCAGTTCCATTGCCTGTCACAGCTCTCCTGCCTGTCCTGCTGTTCCCACTAATGAATATCATGGATGCAAACACAGTAAGAGACCTTACTTCATATGCTATGTATTAATCAGTCAGCTTCTCTTATTCTGGGATTATTTCTCAGAAAATAAAAATATTAATATTAACAATAACAATACTAATAACAATAATTAGTATTAGTAGTATTACTACTACTATTACTATTCCACTGTTGTTACACAGAGAATTGGCTGTCTTCACTGTGAAATAGAATTTGCACAAACCCAGAGTGAGCTCTGGGTGGAGCTGCTAAACTGAATTCAAAGCAAATTCACTGTTCAGATGCAACCCAGAGTTAATCCGTGCTGATGGCTTTGGAACAACCTCCCTCAGAAAATGCCTGCTCTCTTGGCTTCTTGTGACTGTTTTCTCTCCCTTGTTTCATGTTACAGGTTTGTCGGGAATATTTAAAGAACACCAATATGCTTTTTGTTGGGGGGCTGCTGGTGGCCATTGCCATTGAGCACTGGCACCTACACAAGCGTATGGCTCTCCGGGTCTTGCTTCTCACTGGTGTCAGACCAGCCCTGTGAGTAACAGCCATGAAAACACCACGGGATAAAGGACTTTATGGCATTAGTCCCCATCTCCTATGTGAGTCTGCAAATCATGCCCTACAAATGCTTTCCTGCAGTCCAAGGGAGTTAGTGCCTGAGTTAACCTTGCAAATGGGGATGCTCTGATGACTTACACACCTGGTGTGCCTTTTCTTGAATTCCAAATGCCTTTAGGTGGAGAAATAGCAACAAGAGAGTCAGTGCTGCTAAGACACAGCTTCAGACAGTCAGGAAAGAGCACAGAGGAAAGACAGAAAACATGAACTCCCTGCCTGCTCCACTGATTGCCAAGAGAAGAGAAAACATGAGGATGCTTGTTTGGAAAACAACAAGTGTTTTCCAGACTAACTCTAAGCTATGCAGAGGCTGCATCCCCCTATTTAATCTCTCTTAGCTCCTAACAAGAGGGAATGCTGAAGGAAATTACAAAGCAATAGAATAAAAATGCATACAAGATAAATCCCTTTCCATCTCATATATAATCTACATCTCATCGAAAGAATAATTTTGAGGCAAATCACAGAGTAATACTGAAACGAGGATTAGAATTTTAGATGCGTAAGAAGAGAATCTTAAATAATAGAGGTGGGATAAAATTACAGAAAAATAGGGATCCTCATCCTTATGGCTTAAACTGATTGCCATTTGGGATCAAGTTCAGCTTGTAATTCCTCTTTAAAAGATATTATAATGCATTAACCTGTGTTATTGAGAAGGCAT